TCAGCAGGATGTCTGAGCAGCCTAAGGGAGTCTGCAAACCTGGAATTATCTTCAGGATAAATGTCTTATGGAAGTCAATCATGTAGTTCATAGGGAGTGATCATAACTGATAAGCAGGCAGGTCTGCTACCTCCTCCTTCTCTTTGTCCTTCAGCCCTTATCTATATCTACCCATCTATCTATCTACTATCAATATATTTATCTATTCATTTTGTCTAGCAAATTTTTTTCTAGATAAACTCTACCTTCACAAAAGCAATTCAAGAATATCTGATCACTTGTAAGTAAGCACCTGTCAAGGTTCCTTTTAGATCCTGTGAACATTTTATTTGGAATAAACAAACTTCTGAAATTCTCACTGTATCAAGTGCCTTCAGACAAGTGGAGAAGGTATTAGGCAGATTCTTTTCTCAATTGCCTACTGCTTTGATTACCAAATACAAATAGTGAAATCCTCAAAGCTAGTAGTTTCTCCTTATCCATGGCTTTGAATTACCTGTGATACTGTACAGTAAGATACTTGGAGAGAAACCGTATTCACATCCTTTTATTATATAATCTTGTAGTTGTTCTGTTTGATTATTTATTATCATTAATCTCTCACTGTGCCTAATTTGAAAAAGTAAACTTTATCACAGGTATGCATGTATAAGAAAATACGACAGTACATATAGGGTTCAGAACTATCCTGTCGTTTCAAGCATCCTCTGAGAATTCTGGATGGTATCCCCTGTGGACAAGGGAGGACTGCTGTACTCTGAAGAACAAGGGTGATGTCCTTGCATTTGATGACTTTGCCTTTGACTTGACTTGTGAATTTTGAACTCTTGGATCTCGTGAGCCATATTAGACTTAAGAATTTGGAGAGTCTTCAAAATGATAATGGAAACGATTCATGTTAGCAGCCCAAATAATGGCTGGTCTATTTGCTTGGTATGCTGCTTTATAAGTGTCCTCATATAAACCACTTTGGAACATACTGCTTTGGAATCAGCTTTATAAAACTGTTACATAAACTTATAATCAAAACAGCATGTTATAGACTCACTTTTTTGGAGTTATCATGAAATGAAAATGACAGTATAACTCTTCTTA